TCCACAAACTATTATCTTTTTATTTTTTTATTTCAGAAAAAAAAACTTAAATATATACAAGTTCAGTATAACAAAGTCATACATACTCTCCCTTATCAACTGAAGGCTAGTCTTGTCTCATCTATGCCTGACTCACTCTCTCTTTTCCTTAATTACCTTGAAGCAAGTCCCAGAAATTTAATAATTCACTTCATCGGCAAAGGGCTAAAAATCCAACAGCCTCTTTTTAACGGATGCACAGGTATATGAAGTCCAACAGAGAAGTCAGTGCCAGAAATACAGATATGAGATCCATCAGCAACAAAATGAAGATTTGAAGATACAGTTTTGGATGAGGTCAAATATCCATGCTTGGGAAACAAAAAGAGTTTCTCTTGGTGCTCTTTCATTAAAAATGCAAATAGATAGAGTACATTTCTTCCATCAAGGAAGAAACCTTATGAATTTACAAAAACCTATAGAACTTTTTATCCTATGATTTAAAGTGTTTCTCTCCCTTAAAATGTATCTGTATACAATAATAGCTACTAAAGGCTTTCAGAAAATACCTAAAACATAAATAGACATATTTTATGTAACATCAAATTTAAAGTTATTTTAACCAACTCCAAATCTACTTTTCAAAGTATTTGTCAAAAACTCATTGCTTTGTATATTTCATTACTCTTTAAAGTATATAAATCATTTTTATAATTTCTTTCTTGTATTTCACAGTAAATTTTCAAAATAAATTTTAAAAAAGAAAATATGATTCCTATATTGAAATAGCTATGGCAGATGATGGTATATCTTATAAGCATTTAGAGATTTGAACAGACATAAGAATATTTGTATACTAAAAATATTTTATAAGCTCTTTAGACACCAAGCTGTTGAATCAGAGACCGTTTATTCTTACATTTTAGTTTTTACCCCAGTGTCAAAATTAGTTATGATTTATTTATACACCACTTCAATCCCCCTAAATTTTTTTTACTTAAATACTTTAACTCCTAATTTTGCAATCCACTTTAAAAGAATTTCTAAAATTTTCTATAATAGTTTTCATAAAGTATTCAAAAAAGATTACCCTTTTTTAAAAGAAAGTATTTCTGACCTTTGGAATGGAATGGAATTTGGTCAGTTTTATTATACTGGTCACCAAGTAAAAGACCCAAAGGGAGCAAAAGAGGTACAATTTTTAGAAACACAATAGATTTTTTAATGTTTAAGTTTTGATGGGTCATCACTGACTAAATGGAGACTAAGTCATACTTAATTAAAAGAACTCCAGAATATTTAAATATATTCTTAACTTACAAGTAACAGCCCTAGAAACCTAAATGTACAATTTCATAAATTACAATGACATGCATTTTAGTTTCAAGCACACCATATATTTATTTGCCTTATGTTTTTCCTCCCCCCCAAAAAAAAAACCTGATATATTTAAAAGTAATTTTAACGGTGGCTACATCATTTGCTATTTCACTTATATCACTGTAATTTTTAGCAAAGATTGGTATTTTTAAAACTTTTAAAAGGCTGCACCTCATGTGTCTTAAGCAAAATTCAACCTAGTTTAAAAACATCATTAAAGAATCATTAGATTCACTGGTATGTTCTTTTCTTCCACAAGAAAATCCAATTCTTTTCTCGGTTGGTATTATGTTATTATTCAATAAATACCAACACAATGATTTAAAGGCATAACTGCTTTCTCAGGAACAATCTTCTAAACATAGCCCCAAAAACCTTCTGGTTTTCAAAAGAGTGCAGTCCAGACATCTCAACATTCAAACACATTCTTTAAGGCAATTGAGATGTGTTCCCACTCTCAAGTAAGCAACGCATCGTTAATTAGTATTTATTCATTTTTTAAGCTGGTGGTTTTTAAAGTATTTTTGAATATAAACAATTCATAACTAAAGTTGAAAGTTTTTTCATTTACTTTTTTTATATTAAATATATGGTGAAGGGAGAGAAAGTATGGAGAATACAGAACTTGTTGAGAACTTGTTCTGTTTTTAATTAGGAAAATTTTTAAAGATATTTTGTTGCTTTTAAATTAATTCTGCATGAGAAGCCAAGTGATTTTTGGTCTTGAATAATAATGACACAGATTCTTCTTACCAATGTATGTATTAACTATATTGATATATCAGATCCATTTTATTTCTGTACCTCTAAGGACAACCTTAGTGCTTGTCATTAGGCACTAATGACATCATTAATACTAATTCGGCTAGAGTAGTGATTTTATCTTTTATTTTCACATAATGTAGCTGTGGAAATTGTTATTTTGTACAGGGTGAAAAAACTAGTAATTTTCTTTTGACACAAGAAATGAAACCACTCAATTTGTTTTGCTCTCTGTATTACAGCAGATACGAATTTGCTGACATTCAGTGTCGTTTAAGTTTTTACCTGTTTTCCCTCAAAAATCGGATATCCCCTTTATGTTTAACATCCTGTGGCTTTAAGGGATTTTTTTTCCCTCAAAAAAAATTTCACCATTTAGAGACAGGCTGTCTCTATCTACCCTCAGTAGCTGGTATAAAAGATTACAGCAAACCTCAACAAGCTCTTTTCTGAGCTTCAGTAAATCAATAAATTGAAAGAGTTTTAAGATTAAAAAAAAAAAAAAAAACTCTTTAAAAACCACAAGAGTGGCCCATCCTTAGCCCGGAAAGCACCTCCTCACACACGTGCACCTAATAGCAGACTTTTTGTCCCCACAGTGTGAGCAGAGAGTGCAAGCTGAGAATTTTTTAAAAGTCAGGATTTTGTTATGCTCTCAAAAAGAAATCTGGTGGCGTCTTAACATTGCTAAATTTCCTGAGGTAACTAAACTTCCCGAAGTGACTTCAATTCCGTCGCGAACACCACAACCCAAACCCAAGGAACGCCAGCCTTCAGAGAAGCGCGAGTTGCGGAATGTCCTCTAGCGCCTGTTCAACAGGTGGCCAGGCGGGCCTTCGCCTTGTCCTTGCCCTTGCCCTTGCCCTTGCCGCTACCTTCGCAGCCCCCGACTCTAAAGCCAGAGCGGCGCCTGCCGCCCCCGGCCGGGCCGCGCACTCACCCGGTTCCCCCACACTCCCGCATCCCGGCAGGGGCCCCTGCCTTCTCCCTTCGGTTTCTACTCAGCACCGCGGGACCTCCCCACAGGCCGGGAGCCCCGGGAGAAGCACGTGCCTCTCTTCTCGAAGCCTCGACCCCTAGGCGGGAACGCTGGCCTGACCCCCTAGTCCCCCTCGCCCCCACGCCTGCCTGACTACGCAAGCGCCGAAGCTTCCAGACGCCGTCGACAGGCGGCCTGGGAGTCGTGCGACCCCCGCCCTGCGCGCGGCCTCGGCCTGAAGTGTGAAGTTGTGGCCCGTCCCAGGCCCACCGGGGCCAAATAACAACAGCGACGAAACACAAGTCCAGGGGTCTAGGTACCTTGCTCCGGAGGCCACACGGTCGTCCGAGCGAGTGCAAAACCGGGTCTCCCTGTTTGGTTCCACCTGGCAGCCAAGACGGACCCTGGGCCGCGCAGAACCCTCCTCAGGGAATTGGGGAGGCGGCAACCCGGCGCCTGGGCCTCGAGCCGCACTGGCGACAGCCGCGTGAGCCACAACGGGCCGCGCGACGCGACTGGCTGGGTCGGCTGAGGGCAGCGTCCGGGAAGCCCTGTAGCCCAGGTGCCCAGGCCTGCCGGTCCTCCGCACCTGAGGGGCCACGGCACAGGCCGGCGGGTCGGGCTCGGCTCCGCGTTTCATTGGAAGCGCTAAAGGGGTGCCTGCGCGGGCCGGAACGGCCTTTAAGGCCCACGAGCTGCGTGCCGTGAAAGGCGGCGCAGGGCCACGCTGGGCGAGACCTAGGCTGCGCGCCCTCCTGCGGGCCTCTGCTGAGTCGGGGCTGATGGGTTTGTTGGAATGGGGAGGGGGCGTCCGAGCCGGGCCTGCGGGATCCGGAGGGAGGACGCGGCCGAGAAGGCTTTTCCACAGCCAGGGCTCGCAGCCCCACGACAGCGCTCGGCGCGGGGCCCTGGGGGAGGAGCCGTCGTTCTCCGAACCCGGCCTCAAGTCTAGCACGAAATAAAAAGAACAGAGGGTGTTGGACACTTGGCAGGAAACTTTTCGTTGTTCCTTTATTTCCTTGCCGCCCGTGGACAAGTTGAGCAGCCTCCCGGCCTTACCCCTAGACGGTTTCAGGCCAAACGGAGTCCGGATAGTTCCGGGCTCCGTTTTCTTGGGGAGCAGCCACCCTGCCCCGGCCGTCCCCCAGAGGGGGGTGGAACTGTGCTTCCCGACCCCCCAGCTTTAGGCCGGCGTCCTCTTTCCCCGCCCAAGTAGAACGCGCGTCCTGGTCCGTTTTTCCAGGTTTTGTGTGCCTTAAGGAAACGTTACGAACAAAGATAATTCGGCTACTTGTGCGGGGGGGTGGGGGGGTGAGGTTTTAAGGGGACAGCTTAGCGCGTGGCGGGAATGACCAGCATCTCCCAGCCGCGGCGAAGCCACCAAGGACAGCCCCGCAGAAAGGAGGGTTGTCTGCTGCCAACATGCAGGACACGGATCGGGTTTTTTTTGTCGTTTTGTTTTCTTTTCCTTTTTGGCCCGGCTCTGAGAGCATTACAGAGCTATCCTTTCCCGCCTCCCGACCCCCACCCCCTCCCCCTCTTCTTTCTGGTGCAGGCAATTAGGGTGAAGAAATCAGTGCCAGGCTCCTGCCTCTGAAGAGAAAGGAATTGCTTCGGGAATTGAGTCCTGACACCTGTCTCTGTCCTGGATGGCGAGGGGGGCGGGCGGCGCGGGGTCACAATGCCTGGGGGAAGAGGCCAGGCCGACGCGAGGGGTGGGGGCGACTCTCCGTAGAAGGTTTCTAGGGGCTTCTCCTTCCCCGTCCTCCCGCCCCGTCCCTTGGCCTCCAGCTTCACGCAGGTCATTACCACGCGCGTTATTAACAGAGTTGCCTTCACTTTTAGTCCCCCGAGACCGGGAGCCGGAGCTGCAATCAGAAGAGCAACATCGACAAAGCCGTACATTAATTTGCATTTATTTTCGGGAAGTAATGTAGATAAGGGGGAGGGGGCTGCCTTACATTTCAACAATTTGTGATCTTCACATCGGACAAATCAAATTTACAAATTACTTTCCCACCTACTGGACGAAGCGGCCCGAACCAAAAGTGATACACAGGCGCGCGCGCTGTGCGCAGGTTTGGAGGATGAAGTGCACTAAAAACTCACTGGACAAACGGGGGTGCTGAGAGAGAAACCGACAGAGGAACCGCGACTGGGGCGTGGGGCCTGCTTTTGTTTTTCCATAACGCTGTATTTTTGCCTTTTTTCTTTCTTTTTTGGGTTTTCCGTTTTTAGTCTCTAAACTGGAACTACGACCCTGTGCTTAGACCGGGTGAGGGGCTCAGTGCTGCGCCGCCGCCCAGCCTCGCCCCCACCCTTATACCCTGACCTTGCTGTTTCCGCCACACTCCTGATCCTCTGTGTCCACCTTCCTGGAACCAATTGGTTCTCTTTAATAAATACACAGAGGCAGAAGATGCGAAGAGGGCAGGACAGCCTTGTACAACCGAGAAAGAAAAAGCGTCGTCGTTTGAGGAAAAGAGGCAGGGGGAGAGAGAGGGAAAATATTTTTTGCTTTTGTTTTATATATATATGTGTATATATATATATGTACTGTATATATCTTAAAAGTTCTGTCTTCTGGGCGCTAAGACGAAATATGCTCAGTTCGACCAACAGCAACTAAAAAGTTAAGTGGTCCCTGGAACGGACCGACTATGTACAGCATTCCCGCCGAAGCGGAAGCTCGAACCAGTCCAGCGCAGGGCGGGGTGGGACGTGGCTCTAGGCGCGGGCGCTCCGACGAGGACCCGGTCCCCGCGCACCCCGCTGGGGAGGAGGAAGTCCCGGAGAGCTCTGGCCGGCAGGAGGGGAGGAGAATCGAGGGCGGCTAAAGGGGCGGCAGTCTGTGCGGGAGAAACACTTAGTGGTTGTTTTGACTTGGAGTAGTGTGTGGGTGCACTCGAATGGGCAGAAACACGCCAGCAGTGCCTCCAGTGTCCAGAAAGAATAAATAAAAGTGTTGGGTTCAAACAGCGGGTCAGAGCAAAGGGCCTCCGAAGGCTGCAAGTGCATAACAGCTGCCCAGAAAGACGGGAAGGGGGAGTTAGGAATTTCGTGGGGGTTGAAAGAGAGTGCACACAGCTCTCCCATATTAGAACGAACGGGCCAAGCCAAAGCACCGGTCCCCCCCCCCCAATCTAAGGGGTAGAAGGGCTTGCGCGCACACCCCTCCCCCCCCCAAGCAAATGGCACAGATAGGGGTGGCAATGCGGGGAACGGGTATCTTTGAGGGAGGGGTGAAAATTCAGTTTGGGGGAAGCCGAGGCAAGGCGGGTGGTGCAGCAGCAGCAATAGGATGGGGACCACGGAGGGCGCAGGTAGTTGCGTTTCTTTTCTTCTTCTCACTCCTGGGCTCACAAGACCTGGAACCGCCATGAGGCTTGGTCCTTATAGTCCAGACAGTCGGGGGAATTGAAGTTGAGTTTCCAGGCAGAGGATGCAGCCGCTGCACCAGGCTCCTTGTAATCCAAGCAGTCGGCAGAGTTGAAGGCAAGCCCGGAGCCACCGTAGCCTTGGTGGTGGTGGTGGTGGTGGTGGTGGTGGTGGCCTGATGACTGGCTCAAAGGGTGGTGAGCGTGCGGGTGGTGGTGATGATGACCCGCCATGGAGGAGGGTGCCATGGGACTGAGCTGGTGTGGGTGGTGATGCGAGTGCATGGGCGCTAGGTATGAGCTGCAGTCCACGCCGCCAAAGTAGGAGGAGGAGGGCGCGGGGTAGCCCTGGCCGTAGCTGCCGCCCTGGCCGTAGGACATGGGATAGGAGGCTGCTGCCGTGGCGGCGCCTGCAGCTACCGAGCGCTGCATACACGAGGCGTTGCTGGGCGCGGCCAGTGGCTCGGGCACCGACACGGACGCGGGCGCAGAGCCGGGAGAGATGGAGGCTGGGCTCCAAATGGATGAGGCAGCCGGCGTACTAAGCGAGGAGGCGACGGCCACGGCCGGGTTCCCGCCCAGGCCGGCAGCCGCGGGGTTGGCGGAGACGCTGGAGGCTGAGCTAGAGGACGAGGCGGAGCTGGACACAGCCGGCGGCGTGAACTGCCCGCTGCTTTCGGAGCCAGAGCTCTCCCGCACTGGAGACGACTTCTTCTTGACTGGGCGGCTCTTGGTTCCGCTCCCACTCTGCTGCTGCTGGCGGCATTTGGCGCGGCGGTTCTTGAACCAGACCTGCAGGAAGTGGGATTTGGGAGAGTGGGTCAGAGGGCCCAGCAGGGCTCGCTGCTCCCCCGCCCCTTGGACCCTCTACCCCGCCCAGGATCTTACATCCCTCGCCCACCCTGGCCTCCGCCCCTCCCCGTCTCCGGCCCGGCCAAGCCTGTCCCCCTCCCCCGCAAGTCTGTCCCCAGCTCCTCCACCCTCCGGGTCGTTCCGCTCAAAGCCCCTCCTCAGCTGGATGCGCACCTCCCCACCCCTAGCGCCACTCTGCCCCAGGGCGGAAGGTTCCTGTGCGTCCAGACTGAAGTACTGCCGTCTCTAAGTTGCTGCGGTTGGCTGCTTCGACGCAACCCAGAGTAGGTGCAGAGGCTCTGTGTCCTACGGTCAGAGCTCGGGAAACAGGGGAGAGGCACAGAGCCGCACAGTGCGGAACCGTCTCCGAGTCCGGAGCCAGAGCAGTTTCACTGAGTCGGCTCCTGGAGTCAGAGCCGGGCAGGGCGAAATGTTTGGGTGGAAGCCGCAGCAAGGCCCGAGGCGGAGACAGAGGCAGTACTCTAGGGGCTAAGGATTCTCGGGAAGGAAGCCTGGGCGAGATTTCGTTGGGATTTTTTTTTTTTTTTTTTTTTTTTTGGCTCCAGGTGGAAAACCAAATGGGATAGTCAGTCACAAAACTTCTCCTCTGGGAGGGCCCCGGCACAAGACAGTGCACTCCTGGTCCTCTCAAGAGCCTTGGGGATGGTGGGGGAAAGGGCGAGACAAAAGGCTCCTGAAGAGAGTTTTGAGTTAGAATCCCAACTGTTTTCGGAGCCCTTTCCTCTCAAAAACAAACAACAAAACCGGGAGCCGAGTTTCGTCCCCTCCCCGCAGAGGCGGCGTCTAATCAGACCGGCGCCGTCCATAAAGCACACTTCCAAGGCAGAACGCGCCACCCTTCCTTTTCCAGCCAGGGCCGAGGCAAAATTTCAGGCCTCTGAGGGAAGCTGCCAAGTTCCGGGGCTACTGAAGCAGCAGAGCAAGTGTCGGGCACTCGGGGCGCTTTAGGTTCCAAAGCCTAGCTCGTCCTCACTCAATCCTCAAAACGATTTTCGATATCGAAGGCAGCCGGGGCCAGGGACTGGCTCCGGGGCCTTAAGCCACTGCCTTTAACTTGCCCCCTTTGCCTGGCCCGGTCCCAGCGCTAGGGGGAGTGCGAGAGGGGCTGCTCTCTCTGGAAGCCCGCCCCCAGCCGAGACCACCCTTCTCCGACGCCAGCGCGGCTACCCTGACTTGGAACCCAGAGAGTGCGCACCTGGACCCTGGACTCCGGCAGATTGATCTTGAGCGCCACCTCCTCACGCATGAAGATGTCAGGGTAGCGAGTCTTGGCGAAGAGCGCCTCGAGCACGTCCAGCTGTGAACGCGTGAAGGTGGTGCGCTCCCGCCGCTGCTTCCGCGGAGTGGCTGCGGAGACACGCGGGGGCGCCTGGGGTAAGCGGTGGCCATGCGGACTACTGCTAGAGGACTCGGGCAATCCCTTGCCAGGCCCAGAGAAATCCCTTGCCCAGGCCATCCCTAGAGAAAGCCGAGCTCCGAGCAAAAGGATTCCCCTCCTCGCGTGCAGGAGGGCGAGCCTGAGAGGCCACAGGTGGGATAAAGTGAGCGTGTGTGACTGGGAGATCAGTGTCTCCCAGACTCCAGAACTGCCCCTCCAGTCCTTTCAGAAGGGAAGTCAAAGAATCTCCCTCCCTCCCCCCGCCACTCCGTGCCCCCCCCCCCCAACTGGGGATAGGGAGTGGAGAGGAAGTGCGCAGAAACCTCCTGGAAAATACCTTCCCAGGTAACAAACGGTGGTAAAGGAGTGCAAGCTAGAAAGAAACCTAGCACACGACTCAAGTAGTGCACTACGCCAGTGCAAAAGTTGGTGCAGGTCGTGGGGTCCGAAGACAATTTATTCAGGGAGGAAAAACTCCTTGTCTTCTGTGAAGCCTACCAATCCCCAAAAGGGGAGTTTGGCAGTTTATGTCAGGGCTAGACAGAGTCCAGATTCCTTATATTCAACGTGGTGGAGAAAGCAACAGATTCACCAAAAAACAGCCACCTCCAGTGGGAAACAAATCCGTGGCTGAATGAGGTCCGCACAGCGCAGTGCGACCACCCCAGGAGGCAGGCTGCTGGAGTCGCCAGGCCCAGCAGTGCACGTTGCCCATTTTCACAGTCCTGGCCACCTCACCCACCGACCCAGGAGTCTGCCCCCTTGCAACTAAGCCGACACGGCAACTGGCTCCCTGGGCCTGTTTAGCAACAACCTGCACTCAAACACCAGAGGCTGGGGCGCACGCAGGAAGGGCCAGTGCTCACTCGCACAGCTGGAGGGTCCCCAACATTTGCAGGGGCTGAAGGGAAGGGCCAGAGGGCCAGTGCTCACCCGGGTAGCCCACGGAGGGATGCAGGAGATCCATGGCGGGCCCGGCCAGGCCCAGCCCGTTCATTCCGTATGGGGGTTGTTTGAGGTAAGACATCATGCTAACAGCCGGGTGGAGGCGCCCCGACGGATCCAGGAGGCCTGAGGCCAGGAGCAGTGCAGGGCTCCTACCTTGCAATCCTCAAGCTCTGTTGCGTCTGGGGGCCCGGCCTATGGAGACACGAGACACACGGAAACCATCACTGGGAGCCACCTCGGCCTCCAGGTCTGGTCAAGGGGAGGAGCCCCGGCAAGAGAGAGGGAACAGGCGGCGGAACGGTACTGTGCAGAGCGGTCAATTTAGCTGAACAAGGCCTTAGCTCACAGACCACGGCGTCTTTGAAAAAGTTAACTTTTTCTAGATCATCACTGCCTCATTTCGGGCTTGGAATGGGCCAAAGGTACTTGCAGGGTGAGAACTTAAAAGCCTGGCCAGGTTGGGAAGGTCAGAGAAAAAACCACGGCATGCGCAAGATCCCAAATCTAGGCAAAATTTTGCGCCGGGCGGGAGCCCGCCTTATGCTGCACAAGCAAAATGCTCACTTGGCGCCTAGACTGCAGGCCTCGAAGAGCCTTCAAATGTCTTTGAAAGCCAGACAAAAATACAGAGACTACAGAGGGCCAAGGTGAGGCAATGAGGAGAGCGGACTGCACCTGGCCTCTCTTGGGCACCCTGCGCACTTAGAGGGCTCCGTTCCTCCAAAGGTCGCCGCCGCTGCGGCCCTGCCCCAGAGCCAGCAAGCATTCCAGCTGACCTCCTTGCGCCCAGCCACTGAAGGATCGCCCACCAGAAACCCCACACCTCCACCGACCGCGGTTACAGGAGGCCAGAGGACGCCATAGGGGCCACTGTACAGGTGGTGGTTCCAGGACGCCGCCCAAGGCCAGGGGTGCTGCGGTCGCTGCCACTCGCCCTTCTTTTTGCCCAGCCCCGGCTGTAGATCACGACGTCCCAGCCGGGGCTGAAGGGTGCCCGGCCCACAGCCCCAAAGGGTCTCGGGGATTTGGGAAGCCCGAGTGCGGTGAGTCGTGTGCGCTCCCTGACGCTCTATCAGGTGAACCCACGGCCCCCAGGACCCGATGAAGAGCGAAGTAGGCCTCAGCGGCGCAGCCCACGCAGACCTGGCCTGGAAGGTCGCAGCCTCGCTTCCGCAGTGGCCCCGAACCCAAGGCGCTCCTCCCAGACGGGGGTCAGGAAGGGTTGCCGGGGAGTGGGACTGGGAGCCCGGGGGCCCTGTCGCTATACTGCGCTTTGCGGGAACCCTCTAAGGCAGGCCCGGGACCCAGGCTGGGGAATTCAGGAGAGAAGTTAAGGCTGGAGCAGCGTTTCCCCACCCCCAGCCCCCGCTCCCGCTCTCTTCCTCGGGGACCCACGGCCTGGGCTGGAGGAGCCCAACTTGCGAGGAAGGGGACGAGAAAGGAAACAGTTTCCGAAGGAGACTGGGACTCGAGGCACGGCGGCTCTGCTAGGCGGCGGCCAGAGTTTTCCAAGACTTTGTCCCAACTTAACGCTGCAGCTCAGTTCCTTCGGAGGAGGCGGGGGAGGGGGCGCGGGGCCACAGCTGCGCTCTGGGGTCCTCGGCACTCCGCGAGGGGAGCCAGGCCGCTCCCCCAGCCCCGCCCACCTGCCGGGGACCAGGGGCGCGAGGATCCGTGTGAGGAGGGGGAGGTAAAAGTAACGAACGCGCTCCGGGGGCCCCGGGCGGCCCCGCGGCTTTCTGCTTACCTGCCCTCACCCGCCGGGGCCGCTCACCATCTACCTCGCGCGCTCACAGGGACCCGCCGGGCAGCCAACCTGCAAAACAGAGCGGCACAGGAATTACCCGCGCGGCTGGTCTAGGACCCCAGGGCGCCTTTCTTTCCCCCAACTTCCTTCCTCCCATCTCTCTCTTTTCCTCAGTGGCTTTGTGCGTGTCCCTCCGGGTTTCACTTTATTGCACAGACACTTTGTTTTGCAAAGCCCACATAGCTTGCAGGACAGAGCCTCGCCCGGGACCGCGCCGAGGGGCCGCAATGGGGGGGATTCGAGGGGCAGAGTTGGGAGTGGCTCGCCGTTGCCGCCGCACTCCCGGTGCAACGTGGAGGCGGTGGGGACCGAGGAAGTCCTGCAGAGTCACTTTGCAAACTAAATAAATCAAGCGATTTACCTTGTCGGAGTGGCTTGTCTTGCTCGGTTGTTTAGGTGATTGGAAATGTAGCCTGATGAAGATTGATCACCTTTCTACTGCCCTCCCCGAGTATGTGAACGCGAGGCGAGTGCGTAACGGGGCTAGGCCGCCAATCGGGGGCCCTGCGCGGGCTGAGTGACAGGGAGCCGGGCAATGGCAGCGCGAGCCGGGGGTTACCTCCGCGCGCCCCCGCCCTCCCCGCCCCCACACCCCGCCCGCCCCGCCCGCCCGCCCCGCCCCGGTCGCGCGCTAACTCCAGGGCTCCGCAGGCAAACGCGGCGCAGAGCGAGGGCGAGGCGAGCCAGGCGAGCGGAGCGCCCGAGCCTCAGCCGCGGAGGGGGCCGCGGGTCCCGAGGCCTGCCCCAGGGCCCCCGCCCTTCTCTCGCCCTCTTGGCGCTCCCAAGGGAGTGGCGGGGAGGGGGGAGAGGTGCTGGAAAACCGGTTCCTTCGCTCCCCTGCGCGCCACGGGGCTCCGCGGCCCGGGTGTGGGCGCGAGGACTCGGGGTGGCTGACTGGAGGAGCGCGGGCTCCCAGCCGCTCCCGCGGCCCCGGCATCTCCCTTTCTCTGCGCCCCCACCTGCTTGCGGACCTCATGGGCGGCCGGTGCCGGCGCAGGCTACTTCGCCGAGCGCGGAGCAGTCGGGGGCGTCGGTCGGTCCTCTGCGCCCCGGGACGACTGCGCCAGGAAGAGCACCCACGGGCCAGGCGCCTCCGCCTACCGGCTCTCGGGCCTCTGTTTCCCGGTCCCAGCAAGGGCGCTTGCAAGTCTTGGCGCACGTTCGAAGCCAGCGTCCCCTTCCCCTCACAACACACCTCACTCCGCAGGCTAAAGCTTTTGATAGAAAACTTTTCTTTTCCTCACACTCTCTCGTTGGAGACCACATCCACCAGGGGCCGTGTGATAGAAAAGGCAGCCGTGGACCTCTACCCTCGAGGTCTCATCCACGGACGGCGGAGGGAGCCTCCTTGAGACGGTTTCCCCGGATTGTTCGTACTGGCCTAGCCCATTTCCCAAGCCAAAGAAACTTCCCAAACAATGTCTACTTGCTTGGACTTTTCGAAGAGTGAAAACAAAAAACAACAAAACCCACAAGCGCTTTCACTCCAACCCCGAGCAAAGCAATTCTTTTAAATGGCAAGTCCTCTTGAATCTTGGACACTTTACGCCCTTTCGAGGAATTTCTATCCCGTCTTCCTAATCTCCCCCCACCCCCACCTCCACTGGCGGAGTGAAAGTTTGAGCAGAGTTAGCGCGAGGGCGAGTCCGGGGGCTGCCGGGCGCCTCGCCGCGGGGAGTGCCCGGGCAGCCGGGTCGGGCCCGCGAGCTGCCGGGACGCTGGGCGCGGGAGAGAATGAAGGGGAAGCCCGCGCTCTGAACAGGGGCCGAAGCCGCTGCTCTTCAAAGTGCCTCCCCCTCCCCCAAGCGACACTTTCCTTTGGAGTCCGAATAAAATACGGTAACAGAATATGATGGAGGGCACACTGTTTCCTTAACTGCTTCTCAAAGGACCCAGGAGATCTTCTTAGGACCTTTAATAAGGCTTTGGTCGGTTCTTTTGTTGATCTCTCAAAATCAACTCCTTCTAATTGAAGTTGGAGCTGAAAGCGAGCTAATGTTCAAAGAAAGTGGCCGCCAGACCAACGAAATTACATTTTTTTTTTTTTTGGACGATGAAGGAACATCTAATCAAAGGGGTAGGGAAAGGAGGGGTGGGAGTGGGGGAGTACGAAGGAGAAAAGGAGGTTTTACAAGATCCCTCTCTGGTTCACAAAAGTCAGCGACACGGGCGCTTCTCTCCAGAACAAAGCCACCGCGGCCCATTCACAAAAGGGAGAGAAAGAGAAAGCAGAATAAAAGAACGAGAGGAAAGAGAAAAAGAGAGCGCGCGCGCGCGCTCTTTAAAGAGGAAAAGAAACAGCGCACAAGGCAGCGCTGGCCTGGCGGGGATACACCTTCGGCTTGCGCAGGCCCCCGCTAGGAGTATCCCACGAGGCCCGCGGCTCACGGCCACCGAGATGGTGCCGACATTTAAAGACAGAAACGAAATACACCCCCGCCCCGGGATCCGGAAAAAAGAGAGGGTCGGAGCGCACTGATTTTGGGGGAAAGAGTCGCGGACGCCCTGGGGTGCGCGTCGCCGGCGTCCGCGTCCGTAGCCCGGAGCTGCCAGCCTGCGCGCTGCGTGCCTGGGTTGCCCTCCGGAGCCAGGGCGCTTGCTCTTCTTGCCAGTTTCCGCAACCTCTCGCACTCCGTGCTTCCTCCAGGCCCCGCTTCGCCTACAGCCTTAGCGCCCGATCTGGGTTCGGCTTGGCGAATTGGAACTGGGGACCGCGCTGGAATGTGCCCGCGCGGTCCCCAGGGCCCGCCGCGCCAGAGCCCGGCGCTCTCGGTTCCAGATGCTGCCACCAGTCTCGGGGAAGTCGGGGAGGTATCAAGTAGCACGGACTTTTTTTTTTTTTTTTTAATCCTAATGAGAGTATTTATCTAATCCCAAATTGCAGGCGAATTTTCTTAATGCTCAGCCCATAAAACCCCGGGATTAAGAGAAGAAAAAGGGAGGAGAAGGGAGAGGGGAGGAGAGTAGAGAGACTGAGATGAAAGTTTCTTGAATGCAGCGTGGAGGATTGAAGCATCCGTCGCTAGGCAAATGTCCAGGTGGGAGACGCTGGCCCAGAAGCGGCGACCGTTCCAGCAACGGTCGCAGCGCTGGGCGGGGAAGAGGGGGCAGCGCTGGAGGGGAGACCGTCCCAGCTCAAGGCCTGCGGGCCAGGGAGGGGGCGAGAGACCTGGGCCCCGCGACCCAGATCCAGCATCCAGGTGACCGCGAAGCCGGGAAAGACCCTAGATAGGACACTCGGGACAGGGGGAGGGGTTTGAATCCCAGTCCGAGGGTTCCCGGCCGGCGGCGGAAGTTCTGCACGGGCCTGCGGAGTGTGCCGGAGCCAGCGCACCGCCGGTGCTCCGCCAGTGCTCCAGCTCCTCCGCGCCCTCCGGACACACAAGCTTCTTTTCCTCCAGCAGGGCCTCTCGGGGTCCCGGTCCCACGGCGTGCTAGGTTCGCGCCCGCTCCTGAGAGCTGGCCCCTGGGCACCACGCCGCGAAGTCGCGACGCGGCACTCCAGCCGCGGGCCTGACCCCGTCAGTCCCCGGGGTCCGCGTTCCACGGCCGCTGAGGGGCGTCCGGGTGCCACGGAGCAGCCCAAATGGAAACCGCGCGAGGCTCGGGACTAAAGTAGGAGGGGTAGGGAGAGGGGCCGCTCAGCGGCCCCATCCATCCCAGCAAATGTGGGGCTAGGGCAGATTTGTCACTTGGCAGATCTGGAGTAGCTTGGGGGCGGGGGAGAGCTGCCTTTCTGCGAGGCCCCTCAGCAGGGAAGGTTCCTCGAATCTAGCGCGAGCGGAGTGGGTGCTGCCGGCCACCCAAGTCCCGGGCTGTTGAGCCGTGCGATTTCCGTCTGTTGGTTTCCCTCGGGTTACAGCAGGGTTCTGAGGGCTTTCCCCCAGAGAGCCGCAGCTCGAATAAAGGGGGTAAATCCTGGATTTCATTTAGTTCCAGTAACTTTTCAATAACTTAAAACGTCATGAAGAAATTCTATAACAAGTGTGTTTTTTAAAATCATTTTGAAAGACTGGCAAGTGGAGGCGGCTGCATACTTTTCAAACTAAGTGTGTTTGTGTGTGTGTGTGTGTGTGAGAGAGAGAGAGAGAGAGAGAGAAATATCTAGGCTGAAGTGTGAATGCTAGTAGCATTTTCTCTAAGTTTCCGGACTTGTTGAACGAGCTTTCTTTGTTTGGACACCCCTATTGAGAAGTGACGGAAACTACCACAGAATCGCCTTTTTCTGTAGCCTAGCACTCTTTCCCTCACCTCATACACACACACCTGCACACACCCGCTCCCCCACCTTTCCCAACAATAACACTCTTCCTTTCACTTCAAGACCCAAACACGCGCCATTTGGCAGAACACACAGCTCTCTCACAGGACTGCAAAACTGTAACAACCGAAAGTAATAACGTGGATACTTCATGAAGATATTAGTGCTTTTTTCAGGGGCAGGAATCACAGATCTTTAACAGAGATGACCCTTTGCAAAAGATGATAGTTTACATAGCTTAAGAATATGACTAATTGCTTTTCAATTCACATTCGTTTGTCAGCAGGGCCCCTCTGGGATGGTATAAACTTACTCAGATCCAAATACAGCCTAGTATGCTGCCCTGCGTTCCTGAGGACCGTTTTCCACATGAACAGTCTTATGGATGCACAAATTTCCACTCAAGCCAGTGTCAAGTTCTCATTGCAAGAAAGTAGCAGCAGTGTTTAAGGTAAGAAAGTTTCTGCTTTTATTGAAAATTTATATGACTCAGTATTGTAATAAATAAACATAACCATTTTCACAAAAAATGACAGTACTATGCTAGAGAAGAAAATATTAATGGGGATTTACTCATAGTGGCAAGACAAACCTTTTTATCAATACAGAATAAATATTAACAGCATTCTTGAGCCAATGTTGAGACCCAACAAAATGTAGGAACCAAGCAAGATATAATAAATAATTATCCAGAGAAAAAGATGGCGCATTCTGGGATGGTAAAACTGTCCTTGTAAACTGATGCATGTACGTTAGTCCCCTCCTCACAGCTCACCTTCAAACTGTAGGGCTTGTTTGTGGCTAAGTTAAAGGGCCAACCTCTGAGGAGAGCAGAGGAAGGGAACACTATATCCTTACAGTGAAATGCAAAACAACTGCAGACAACCCCACTGGTAAATAGAACACAGTTTAATAAGTAGATTGAATATGATCTAACTATAAAATTTAAGTAACAGTGTAAGTGTTACATATGGCAGGATGGGGTGGGGGAACATTCATGACATTTTTCTTACCTCCCTGTTACCCCCCCTCCCACTGTCATTATGCTATTACCACCACCAACAACGACAATACAATGTTTGTCTCCCATCGGGAAATGAGAAAAAAATGAATCTTTTAAAAAACAGTTTCTTGAACACTCTCAATACCAACCACTCACAAGGTGTCTGTGCAAATCTATTTCACATGATTTCAAGGAAATGATTAACACACACAAAATGCCTTAAACAAAGATGTTTTGGAGTTCTGTGTATTATCTGGAAAGGAGGGAGGAAAAGGGGCGGTGGTAGTAAAGTACAATCCAGCCGAACAAAACGTCGGAAGTTTAAGATCGACAAGGCGTCTGACTCTTTTCTGGTCTGGGACCCGGTTCGACAACGTCGGGAGAGATTCTGTTCTGACATCTACTGAAGAACACACTTCTCCTCTTTCTTGGCCATCTTGCCTTTGTTTTGCTCCAGAGTTCGCTCCAAGTGCTCATCTTCTTCTTCAGCCCTGGACGTCACACAGGAAACAAAATTATTTTTCTTCGTGGAGGGCAGAGCACCACTCCCCACCCCCCAACCAAACCCCGGGGCCCTTATTTGGATCCCCGGTGGGAATAGGGTGCACCCGGCCACGCGAAAGGCTGCCCCGGGCCTCCCGAGACCTCTGGGTGGGACTTTCCGCAACTTCTGGGCCTCTCGGCAGCTGGCTGCGTCTGGACCAGAACCCCGCAGCGCACTCACTGTTTCTCCTGCGCGTCCAGGTCCCTAACGAGCGCATCGCGCTTGTTCACCAGGGCCACCAATTCATCCAGCAGGAGCTGCTCGCGTCGCTTCTGGGCCTCGGTCTTCTGCCAGTCTGGGGGGAGAGGGGAGCAGTTACCGGCAGGGCCTCCGCACACCCGGCCCGCGTCCTCTCCTTCTCGGCGTTCCCAGTTTCCTTACATTTCTCGGCAGTGTTACAGAGCCACTAGCTAGTGTTTTCGAAGGAGCTGGCCCGTCGTGCTGAGGGTTCCCCCTCTAATTATTCCTCAATATTTCCTACAGATGGAGGTGGCTGCGGCAGGATTAGAACCTGCCAGAGACCAGGTGTGAGCCCACGGCCAAGCGGAGGTGCGCACCTGAATTCAGCCAGAGTGGGGGAGGGAGCAGGAGGCCCGAGAGTCCGGCCGAGGGGTCGGCGGCGGGGGGAAGTGGGTAAACGAGGAGGCGGGAAACAGAGATGGGCGATCAAATCAGTCTGAAAGGCTAGAGGATCTGCCCAGAATCCACCCTCCTCCCCCACCCCCACTCTCACCCCAAACAGCCATTCTTCGCTAATTTCCTCTTCGCTCAATTTTAGCAGTTGGATGTATCTCACACTGGGCGCCATATGCTTCACAATAACTTTAAAAGTAGTGAATCGGCTAATTAGCATTTTTCTTTGAAGTAAAAAATAAATTTGCTCTGCAATATTACACTGCAGCTCTCGATCTCATCACAGCCAGTTTTCTTTTGGAGACGTTTGCCGGGTGGTTTCAAATCAAAGCACTTTGCAAGGAAAAATTACATACTTCTCTTTGAAACCATCATGTTAAAGGTTGGAAAATCCGATGGGCAGTGCTCTTTCCGAGGGTGGGACCAGTTTTTTTTTTTTTTTTTTGAAAGTTTTAGCCCTCAGTAATATATTTCCTAATATTTTCTCTTCTGATAATTTCCTTAAGATGAGCAGCAGTTTCATTTAATAAAAACAGGGCCAAATCGAACATTTAAAACACTTTTGAAACCAAAGCCAACTGCTCTTTGGCCAGACTGTAAGGGCTTGTAGCTGTCAATCAACCCCCAGTCTACCCCGCCTCCCTCATTAGGAAGGTAAACAATGAAAAGAAGAAGTAGATGATGAGGCAGATAGCAGAACAAATGAGGACCTAGAGGGAAACAGGACACCAGCTTAAAAAAAAAAAAAAAATGGCCACTGACTCCTGCAACCCCCACCCCCCAGCAAATGCACTTTCCCAAAACAGAGAGGAGAGGAGTGCAATCCTTTCGGGCTTCTCTCTTCTCTCTCCATTGCCCTGGGCAATCATGTTAAAACTCACATGGCTGGTGCTTATTCAGATAAACCTAACAATGCACACCGCTGGTTACCATGTGAATCTTCACAAACCACACAAGAATGTGCTGGTTCAAATCCCTCCGACCCCCACCAAAGCAAAATTTATTCAAGACAGCAAACTGCTCAGCAGCTTTATGAAAGCAAATGGTGCTAGAGGGAATTCTAGCTTGTATTTACAAATTAAAAATTAGGTGCATCATCATGCAATACAGGTTAGAATAGCAGCAAAAAACTGAAGTTCATCCAATTTATCACTATTTCTTTCACTATAAACTCAACATATACATATGAGAAATGTGCCATAGGTTAATTATTCATATTTCATACAAAATATCTTAGAAATAAATACAATAACTAATCGCTATTACTTCCTTTTTTAAGTGAAATATTCTATAGCATGGAGAGGAATAATTAAACCATTATTATAGAACACTTTTCTGAATATAAGAATTTTTAAAATAATAAATAGCAAAACTGAAGAGAAGTCATACCTATCAAACTTTTATCCTTTAGATTTAAATGAAACCCATAAGAATGCTGGAAAATGCTCTAATTTTGTTCTTGAAATTAAATCAGGCTTATTCTATAGAGCAGGCAAATTAATGGACTCTCTGTGTTCAAAAGATCTTAAAAGTCATCTAGTGTGATTTCAGGTAACATAGGCTATAAATACAAATTCAGAAAAAAACCTGCTAAATTTATAAAAATGTGTATATTTTATAGTTATTAATATGATCAGTTTTGATGAATGCTAATTTTTCCACTTCCAACCTGAAGAAATCATTCTGATCAAAAGATCTGATTTATGATTCTTCTCAAACTTTTTTTTTCCACAAACCCATTTATTCCCATACTTTGGGTTGCAGTTATCCTGCAGGGCTCTGTGATGAAAATCTGTAAACTTACATGAACTTTCTTTCCTTGGCTGATGGACAGTGTTCCTCACATTACATAGAAACCTCTGAAACATTTTGATAACAGTTTTACAACTGTAAAGAAAATAATTTTTATCCACACTACACAAAAAATACAATTGAATTGTTTTTTAATTTAGAGCAAGAAAAAATAAATTTTGACAGGTAATTTTCTTAACTAAATTATTCCTTCTCTGAACTTGATCACTTTTAGACTTTACTTAGTAATTTAAAAAAACCAGGATTTATCATTGAGAAAATTAGGACTTTAATTGATAATACAGATAAAAAAGGAACTATTTTGTTTTTTAACGCCTAAAGTATTGAATAATTTAACAAATCTTAACTTTTTCCTAGCTCAATAATGAGGGTTCCCATAAATGTAAAATAAACTATTTCTAAATTAAGAATATTGAAATAATTTTCATCATTTCAGAATCAAATTTAATTGAAACCAGAATTTAAAATATTCATAAAATTAAAAAATTATATATTAAATTATGATTAATATATTAACATTTACAAACTATTAGTCAACTGTTGAAGAAATAGTTTCCTGAAGCATATAGATTTTAAATTAGGAAAAGTACAGGTTTTTTTTGCTTCCTTATATGGGAATAAATCATAAAATATGTATATATACATATATATACAACCACGTATAAAGGTATACTATATATATTTAAATGCTAACATGAGAAATTAAACTATTTGATTAAAATTTTTAATATTACATTTAACATTAAAATTTACATTTGTATGTTCAAGCCTAAATTTTAAAAAATCCTTATTTAAGCTTTCTCCTAGACATATCATGTTTTAAAAACTTTCACGTAAGTTTATGGGTTACCTGTTAATACAGTTTAAGAAAGGTATAACATCCTATAGGTATAACATCAAATAGGTATAACACCATAGTTAGTAGCTGAGATGATTTTGGCTTGAATAGACAACAATGTGGATTCTGATTAATTTAAAGATTCCAGTGTACTTTTGCTACAAAAGCCATATCCTCTTGCAACAAATAGGATTAAGTTTTGATGCTGCATTTGAGCCAAAGTGCTGAAATAAAGAGATTCTGCATATGTCCATCTGCACTGAACAGATGTTAATTTAAAAAAACTTATGTGTGTGCGTGTGTGTGTGTGTGTGTGTATGGTTAATTATTCATTCCCTGATTTATTTTATTTGCTGAAATTGATAATTACCTGAAAAAGGCAAGAGAAATACCTATAAACACTTTAACAGAAAGGACCTAAAGTTCTTGTGGTAAACCTTCAACCTTGCCATTATAAATAAGCCTGGCACTTTGATGAAAATTAACACTAGTTTTCTAAAGAGCACATTGGGGGATTGCAGTCAAGTCTTATCTTTAGTTCCAGTCAACTAGCAATCCTGAAAGAGTTTGCATCATCATCAGAACAGGCCATTTGATAGGATTCTACTGCTGTACCTAATC